GGGGGCGGGCGCTTCAGGGCGGGCCTGCCGCGGCCCGCGGACGGCCCGCAGATGCCATGAATAAGGCAGCTCGACGCAGCCGGCTGCACCCACAACATCAACACGTGGCCATCCGCCATTCAGCGCGTCACGCTTGGTCCAAGGTGGAGGTCCACGCAATCAGAAGCAGATCCCGCTCACCCGCATCAGCCAGGTAGAACCCCATGCTGGATCCCGGGTCCAAAACCACAAAGCCGCTGCTGGCCAGGGTTATGCCGTGCAGCAGCAGCACCACCGGCCTGCCGCGCGCCCTTGAGGTCGAGTTCCTCGCGCCGCGGGGGATGCGGTAGCTGCAGGGAGGGGGGGGACGCCGCGCGGCAGGGCGGGCGCGTCACCGGCGGGCTGGCGTCGTTGCAGCGGCGTGCGCGCGCAACACAACACACGCATGGCTGCGGCGGGCGTGTACAGCATGCCTGTGGATCTAGCAAAGATTTTGCGGCCTGAAACAGCTCCTGAGGCCGTCGGTGCCGCCGCGGGGATGCTGATGTGGCGGCGCTGCTGGGCAGGTGCAAGTCGAGGGACTCACAGGCGGAGGATGAAACCGTCAGCGGTTTCCACGGGCCACGTCTCCAAAGGGTAGCCATACGGCAGCACCAGGTCTTTGGAAGGTTTGGGTACGGGTGGAGGCAGGTTCAGGGTCGAGCGGGTGTCGCTGGCAACGAGTGACGACAGGCGCTACGGGGCCAAGCTCGAGCAGCGGATGTTCCTTATTCACGTGGACTGCGCTTGCCGGCCGTCGCCTGACGGAGTGCACGGACAGGTGAGCTGCGGGCGGCCCCGTAGCAACCAATCTATGCGGCATCTTCTCAGGCCCGCGGATCGCAGGGTGCGACCGCTCACCTTCCATGGATGCTAGTTCCCCGTTGTACACTGCAGCTGGGAGGTCCGCCTGGCTCAGGTCGGGCACCGCCTGGGGGTGGCCCGTGGCGCGCGCCCCGCGCGCCGCGCCCGCCATGGACCGCCTGTCATACGCGGCGCCGCTCCGTACGGCTGCTTTGGTTTCCAGCAGCTGCCGTGGGCCGCGGAGGGTCCCGACGGCTGCGGCTGGCTGGGTCACTAGGAGCAGAACACCAAGGAGGCAGGCGGGCAGGACGCAAGTGGCGGGCCGCAAGGTGTCGCCATGTTTTAAGTGCCGGCCTATCATGATCGAGTTGCCTCAACTGCCGCGGCCTGTCTCGCGTTCAATCAGCCCTTGGCCTTCGAAGCCCACTGTAATCAGGTATGGCAGGCCTTGCTGGGTGGGACGGTCCAAGCCAAACTACCACCAACCAAGTATTTTACAAGGTCATGCGGCGACCTTGCGGCCTGCATGCATCTGATCGCGTCGGTGTTGTTGCAGGCGTGAGACGGGAATCACGTTGACACCCTTCAAGTTGGCGAGTGCGGCGTGCAAAACATTTTGTTGTGATTATGCAACGAAAGTGCCTCAAGCGACCCGAGCTGGGTCAGTCATGTAAATGATTGTCCTTGAAATTAATTACTTACGCGGTTGGCGGTGAATTTCCTCTGATCGGCGGCTCGAGGAAACCACATAATACACTATCATTCACATGATCCGTCATGCCGCAGGGCGCAGGGCAGGCTCACTGGCGAAATGATGCGCACTGGACTGATTGGCATTGAGTCATGTTAGTCATGGTGACACCTGGTGCCTGTGAACACCTGACGCTCTGCCTCTACCCTCTTGAAACACACAGAAGTGGTTCACAAGGTGAGGACACTCTCGGCTTAATGGCGGCAAACATGCGCTGTGCACAGCACGATCAGTGCTTGTACCCCCCTGCTCCAGTATCTGAGCTGCGCAGCGATGGCGCTGCCCCGGCCCCAGTCACCGCTGGGCCGAAAAGGTGTTATGTCGCCGCGCATTAACAGCTAATGTCAAATGTAGAGACAGCCAGCCTGCGCATCTACATGGCGCGGCCGCTGCAATGAATCGTGCATTGCTGCGAGACGTCACCATTTCGGGCCGTGATCGCATTTCCAGGGTGCGCCATTAGCAGAAGTGTGATCATACAAAAACGCCCTGGATTTACCAGGTGAATTGCTTGCATGCGTTGTGTCGGGCTCCGCAGTCAGTGAGTGCAGGGCCTCGACAAGGCACCAGCCAGCTTGCGACGTGTCAGCTTGCAGGGCCCTCATTGGTTTTCCACCCCTTGAGCAGACCACAGTGGCAGCTATTACCATCAAATGCATATCTAGGTCAGGTAGATACTGATGCACCGCATCCCTGGGATCCGCTGCCCGCAATACAGACTTGCCCGTTACAGACCAAAAGCACGGGCGAATACAGCACACAGAATGGGATCCGATAGTCGCTCTTCACTGACACTCGTCAGCTTTGGTGCGGCAAATCGGATGTGGGCATGCGTCGACACCTGATGGGTGCTGCTAGTGCTGCTGCCCTGGTGCTGTCCCATGCTGCCACTGCAGCGGCGCGAGCTGCTGCTTCCACACTCAAACACCTTGTCATGCGGGGCTGTGCACGCATGCAGACGTGGACGGCACGCTCATCCGCAGCTGCGGGGAGGACGCAAACCGCCTGCACAAGGAGGCGTTCTCGGCAGGTGGGAGCGCAGCTGTGCGTTCTGAGTGGGCGCGCACCACCCCAATCTGCATGGACCGCTGGCTCCGTGGCTGCTAAAGATTGCGTACATTATGCCAGCGGAGACGCCGGCCCCGTACGCCAGGCGCAGCGACAGGCCACTGGGGAGCGGCTGCTGCTGCAGGGTCGCCCCTTCTGTGCAGGGTCACCCCTGCTAGAGGTCACTTCACGCTGGGCGGGACACCGGCAGCCCCTCACTCCCCTTCTCCATATCTCCCAAGCCAGCAGAGGGCAGCCGCCCGTCCTATCTGCAGCCCCGCGCGCGAAGGTTGCGCCAGCCAGGCGACGGCCCTCGCACGTCATGGCCCTGCCCACACTCCTCGGCGGACCCGACAGCGCGGCTGCCGCCCCCCACGCGGCGCGTCGCGCCGCCTCTTTGCCTGCGAACACGCAGGCTTCAAGCATGTGTTTGGTGTGGACACAACAATAGACGTTGTGAAGCACCATGGCGGCACTGATCCCCTCATCGCAGTCAAGGTGTGTCCCATGTGTTTTGGGAGGGATGCAGCGTTGGTTGTGCAGGGGTGTGCGTGCGCGCGTACGGTACGGGTGCATAAATGAGTGCATGCATGCATGTTTGCATGCATGGGCGCGTCCATGCGCTGGTGCCAGCGTTTGCGCAAACACACTGCGCCAGCTGGCAAGCCAGCACGCGGGAAGAAAAAAACTCAGAAACTGCGGCACAAGATTGCAGCAGCGCCACCAAGCAGCGAACCCTGGACTGGCCAGGCTTTTGAATCTTGTGTGGGAGCGGCAGTGAGAGGTTTCGGTTTTGCATGGTGCCAGGACTAAGGGCTGGCGCACACCCGCTCCTATCCATAGCAATTCCCATGTCTCTCTGCTGCATCTGCACAGGTCATGATGCATCATGGCATACCGAAGCATGAGGTGCGCGCAGGCTCGACCCTCTTGTGCATTGACACTGCCAACCCCAGCAGCGCGGCCGCCGCCCCGCCGCTGTGCTGCATTCGCCCCGCCGCCGCGCCGCCGCGCCGCCATTGCAAGCCACTGTCTTCTCGATCCTAGCGGCGGCGCGCCGACGCCACGCCATCGTGCAGGCGCTGGAGCGGCTGCCGGAGCTGCAGGCCGCCATGATCAAACACGTGAGCGGGTCGGCCCGGCATGCATCGCAACCGTTGCCATGTGTGGTGCCGTTACCGCAGGCTCTGCATGCCGCCAACCAGCGGGCACGCGCGGGCCGCCAGCCGCTCCATTATGTGATTGCTCCGGCACCTACATCTTACAGTTTTCTGCCGGCATCATCCATTCCGTGTCGTCAGTTTGAGGCCCACTCAGACAGGGCTGGCCTGGGGCTCCAGCTCTTACCAGGGGTCAGGGCGCTACTGGAGACGCTGCAGGTGAGCAGTCAAGGCCTTGTTTGTGATGTGTTGCGCAAGCTTGTGCTGATTGTCGTTTTTGCCACATGCACGCTGCAAGCCAACTGTCTGTTGGAATGATGGGCAGGGGGACAGCGGGCCTGCTGATTTGCAATTGTATGATGGTGGGGCAATCTGTGGGTGTGGCAGTGCGCAGGGTCGGGGCCCGAGCCTTGGCCCCTCACAAAACCCACCTGCGCGGCCCTGCGCCCTGCCGGCCCTTCGACATTTGCCCTGCGGTTCGCCACACGGCCCGCTGCCCTGAAGCCCTGAAACCTGGATGCTAAACCCGCAGGGGCGGGATGATGTGGCGACCTGCCTGGTGACAGGCAACCTGGAGCCCATCGGCTGGGGCAAGATGGCGGCGCTGGGGATCGAGCAGCTCTTTACAGCCCCCCGGTTCGGCGGCTTTGGGAGCGACCACTGCAGGTGCGAGGGCACGATGGCCTGCGGGGCGCGAGGCACAAGTCGTGCGAGTGTGCGCATGTGTGTGGCAACGTGAGAAAGGGCATAATGTGGAAGTGTTGGAGGGATTGATGGGTGTTATGGGGGGCGAGCCGCTGCGCCGTAGGCGGGCACTTGCGCAAAGTTTCTTGTGCGGACGAACTTGTGTGCGTGCGTGCATGCGTGCGTGCGCGCGCGTGCAAGTGTGTGTGCGTGTGAACTAGGTTGATGATGCATCAGCAGCCCTGGAGGCATCTTGCTGAGGCCGCCGCGGATGTTATTCATTCACAACGGCCTGTCCAGAGCCCCCTGTCTCGCACACCCTCCCAAACCAAGCGGTGGGGCTCGTGGCCACTCTATTGAGACACCGCTGCTTTCGCATGCCCGCCGCCCCACAGCGGCGACACGGATGAGATGTGGCGCGACAGAGCGGAGTTCGTGGCGGTCGCGGCGCGGCGCTGCGCGGACGCCTTCCCGGGTTTGTTGGGCGCGGGGCGCGGCGCGGGGAGCGTGGCAGCGCGGGCGTTGCCACACTGGGGGTGCCAACCAGTGTGCGCCGCGGCGCCGCGTTGATTGGACGAGTGCAGCAGGGCGCGATCTTGATGCATGCGGTCGAGGGCGGTGTCTGCCGCCATCGGTCGCTGCCCCACTGGCCAGGCTGACACACGCTGCGTGGCCGGCCTGTATGCATCAACACGTGGCTCGCGTGCACGAGCTCATCGCTACTCACGTTTTTTCTGCATCTTCTTACCAAGACACGCTTAAATTCACACCTCCCGCCTCAGATGCTGACATCGCCGCGCACTGGCACGTAGGTGAGCGCATGGGTGGGCAGGCGCGATGGTGGGGTGACGCGGCAGGGCGCAGCGCATCGGCAACCTGCACAGCAGTGCTTCACAGCCGCCGAAGCAGATTAAACCCTGCCCCACTCGCCGCTGCGATGGCCGCCCCGCGTCCGAGCTCGTCCCCTTGCTGCTGCAGCCGCCGCCCAAGCTTGACGCTCACCATCCCCCCCTTGCTGCTGCAACTGTCGCTGACTCAATCCCAAGGGGACACCCCCATGGACGTCCAGGCGGCCCTGGCGTCCGGCGCCGCCGCGCTGGGCGTGGCGACGGGCGTGTTCCCGCTTGAGTCGCTGCGCGCTCTGGGGGCGCCGCCGCGGGTGGTGGTGCTCGAGAGCTTGGAGGACACTGAGGCTGTCATGGCTGCGCTGGGGCTGTCATGAAGGTGCTGTATGGCGCAAAGGCTCGGCCTTGGGTGCCTTGACTCAGGGATAAGTGCTGCGGGGCCGCTGTAGTGTTTGATTCTGATCCTGAATGATTTGGCTCAGGGGGGTGCACACGCACAAGGCAGGGTGGCTGCGCCAGCTCGGCGGCGGGCCTGAGTGAGTTGCTGCGACCCTGCCCTCTGCGGGCGCCAGCGCACAGGCTTCTGAAACCAAGGACTGTCCTGCCTGCTTGCCCGATGTGCTTCAAGAACTTGTCCACTTTGGTCAAGTCTGTCAGGTGCATACAATTGCTTTGCTGCATTCATGCTCAGCTTGGCGATAAGCCAGCCGAGAACCACTACTGTGCTGTGGCTGCATCACCTGCTGCCAGATAGCTGCAAAACCGTGCACGCTGTACTGCGGCTGCATTGTTGCACCCGCCGCCATGCATGTGGTTGCAAAAAAGGGGCACACACAACATCAAAATTGTTTGCACACCATCACAGGTTCTCACTGTCAGCACATTTGACAAAAGATTATGTAACAATTCTGCAATAACAACGACGCCTGACCAAGATGACAAGTATAAACACCCTTGACAGGGGCGCGGAACTTGCCTCGACAGCGTCTGCTGCATAACCCAGCACTCCAAAAAACGCAGCCGCGTTCGCCACTCCCAACGGCCAAGCAAACCACATCGCGACGTCCTCCAACTTGCGCCCTCACGCACGCTCAGCGCCGCCGCCGCCGCCGCTGGCGCCGGCGCTCCCACCACCCAGCACCGTCTCTTTCAGCTGGCGCGCCTGCGAGGTCAACCAGGGCCACCCCTCGCTCTTCACATAATCCATGAACGCGCCCTCCTTCACCTCCTTGTGCGGCGGCCGATGGTGGCGCATGCACTCCCAGAACTCTTCGTATTCGGGCTTGCAGGGGCCGTACGAAAAGGCGCTCGCATCCTTATAACACCTCAGCAGCTGCACAGGTTGACCAGCGGTGCGCGCGAGAGTGGAGGCGACGTGACTATGCTGACACCTGCATTTGGGCACTTCGGATCGGACTGCCAGATTGCCATTTGATCCCCTCTGGTCACGGGATGTGCGATCCTGCGGCGCCGCCGATGCGGCCTGGGCACAGAGCCGCTCACCTTAACGTTCAGCGCGCCGCACGGCACGGTGTCGTCGCGCTTGTTGTAGTACCCGGGCTTCAGCGGCAGGTCCCGCTGAGACACGCGGCCGCTGGTGGACGCGTCCGCGGCGGGCGGCGCATCGGCATGGGACTCCGCCATGGCTGTGAGCGCTGCTTCTGCGGCGCGCTGTCCCGTGCGCGTGCCGCTGTGACCGTCACCCTCCAGACAAGGCCAACAACCGGTGGCTAGACAGATCCTGCTGTAAGTACGGCAGAAGTTGTTCAAGCAAGGATAAATCACAGACGGTGGCCGCCCGCGAAGAATGAAGGACTCGCTGCTCAAGATCGCGTCTAGTACCGTATGCAAACCAGCGAGTGCGGTGCTTTCAAGGTGCTCGAGCTCGTCCAGATGTGCCTGCTGCGGGGGCAGCAGCTGCGGTGAGTGCAGTGGGTGCGAAGCCGCCGCCAGGCAGGGGGTGTCTGCGGCACCGCCTGGCGGTCGTCGTGATGCACCTCCGACAGCACACATGTGCATGGCTCTTGGCGCTTTGCGTTGTTGAGTAGACTCTTAAACCCCTGGAAATGCTGCTCACAGGGTTCCGAGCTTCTCCCGGTCTTTGGGGCAGGCTGGCGACGTGCGCTCTGCAGCTGCTGCATCAACAGCCGCAGCACCAGGCGTGGCTGCCGCAGGGTTCCATTTCTTTGCACACTGCGCAGCCTGCAGCAGCAGGGGATACGCATCTGGCACAGGTCAGTGGAAGCGGTGATGCGGAGGCCTCCAAGGGCAGCGAGGACGGCAGCAGCAGCGGCGGCGAGAGCCAAGGCGCAGCCAGCAGCACAAACAGCAGCTTTAGGGGGAGCACCAGTGCCCGCAGCGGCAAGGGTTTCATGAGCAGTGGCCGCATCGATGTCGGCTCAAGAGGCGGCGGCGGCGGTGGCGGCGCACAGCGTGGGTCCTCACAAGCAGCTCCGTGGAGCCAGCGCAAGGTGAGGTTTTTTAATGCCGCCCTGTGTCCAGCAGCGACGCAGCTAAGATACACTGGACTGGGTGCTGTCGGGTAAAGACCAGGAGTCCTACCGATGCTGTCTCCTTCTGCGGTTCTGGTTTTTGTGTTGTGATCACCCGTCAGCATCCTCCGACGGTGCTGTCCCACCCAATTCTCATGCAACTACGCAGGCCCCCAGCGTCAAGTTCCTGACCACATTGATCGACCGAGCCGCGAGCCTGCAGCAGCTGGTGAACCTGGAGCAGCGGAATGGCGACGCCTTCAATGCCTTCCACATCGCGACGTCGTTCAAGCGATCGGCGCACCTGATCCGCGACCAGGGCAAGCAACCCAGGGATTTCCATCCGCTCATGCTGCGGCTGTGGGCACGGCTGCAGCCGCAGCTCGCTGACTGCGGGACTCGCAGGCTCGCGAGCATTTTGTGGTCATGCAGCAAAGCGGCGTTTGTAGAGGCACCGTTGCTTGACGAGTGCCTGGAGCGCCTTGCCGCCGCGGCAGCGGACGCCGACCCGCAGCACCTGTCGAACGCACTGTATGCAGCCGCTTTGCTGTCAAAGTTGGAGTATAGCATCAACAAGCAGCAGGCACTGCAGCTGGTGGAGGCGTTGACGCAGCAGCAGCATGCAGCCAAGCCGCAGGAGCTGTCCAACACGCTGTGGGCGGCGGCCGCCATGGGGTTGCTGCTGCCAGAGCAGCAGGCACTGCAGCTAGTGGAGGCATTGGTGCAGCGGCGGCATGCAGCCAAGCCGCAGGAGCTGTCCAACACGCTGTGGGCGGCGGCCACCATGGGGCTGCGGCTACCAGAGCAGCAGGCACTCCAGCTGGTGGAGGCATTGGTGCAGCAGCGGCAGGCAGCCAAGCCGCAGGAGCTGTCCAGCACACTATGGGCGGCAGCCACCATGCGGCTGCCGCTGCCAAAGCAGCAGGCACTGCAGCTGGTGGAGGCGTTGACACAGCAGCGGCAGGCAGCCAAGCCACAGGCCCTGTCCAACACGCTGTGGGCGGCGGCCACGTTGGGGCTGCTGCTGCCATTTGAACAGCTGCAGCAGCTGGTGGAGGCGTTGACGCAGCAGCGGCGTGCAGCCAAGCCGCAGGCCCTGTCTAACACGCTGTGGGCAGCGGCAACCATGGGGCTGCTGCTGCCAAAGCAGGAGGCACTGCATCTGGTGGAGTCGTTGGTGCAGCGGCGGCAGGCAGCCAAGCCGCAGGAGCTGTCCAACACGCTGTGGGCGGCGGCCACCATGGGGCTGCGGCTGCCAGAGCATCAGGCACTGCAGCTGGTGGAGGCGTTGGTGCAGCAGCGGCATGCAGCCAACCCGCAGAACTTGTCCAACACGCTGTGGGCGGCGGCCATCATGCGGCTGCCGCTCCCAGCACAGCAGGTGCAGCAGCTGGTGGACGCGTTGGTGCAGCAGCGGCATGCAGCCAACTCGCAGAACTTGTCCAGCACGCTCTGGGCGGCGGCCACGTTGGGGCTGCGGCTGCCCCAGCAGCAGGCACAGCAGCTGGTGGAGGTGTTGGCAGAGCTGCGGCAGGCAGGCAGCCAGCAGGTGCTTGTTAGCACGCTGTAGGCGGCCCCCATCATGGGGCTGCGGCCGCCAGAGCAGCAGGCACAGCAGCTGGTGGAGGCGTTGACGACGCAGCAGCAGCAGCAGCAGCAGCAGCAGCAGCAGCAGCAGCAGCAGCAGCAGCAGGCAGCCCAGCAGCGGCAGCTTTTTAAAACGTATGAGCAGAGGCACTCTCCATGGTTGGATGCTGAGAGTAAGCATTTTCAGCATGCCTCGCTGAGGCTCAGCATTATAATTGCTACCGTACTCTACTGTGCTGTGATCATGCCCATCACTAAAACCGATAGAAACTTCTTCTTTTACGTCCCCTTTGTGACAAATTTAGGCCGCTCCTCTGTTTCATGGCCGCTGTTGTAGGCGACTGAGGCGTTGTGTGCAGCTGACCACATCAACGGCCAAAATCAGCCAATGCCCCCAATCGTGGTGACCGCTCGCCATGACTGTGCTGCATGTCTGTTTCCAGGCAATTTGAATTCAGGGTTGGCAACACTCTCAAAGTCTGCACGGCGGTGCCGCGAAGAGGGTTGCGGTGTGGGGGCCAGGCGCCGCATGGCAAGCTCCCCGTGTATACAGCTGGTGACATCAAGCAAGGGCATGGGAGCTGGCCATCAGCGCCTGAGCATACACACCTCTCAGGTAGAACAGTCCATTTGCATGTCAGACACGGAAGCTGTGTGTTTCGGCGTGGGTGGCAGCCTTGTCACAGCCGGGGATAAGACATGAGTCTCGCCATGCGGCTCGCCTGGGCTAGCAGCGTCACTGTGTGCCCCCACAGATTCGTGCAGCGAGAGCGTGTAATCGCCCCGGACATGCGGATCAGTGCTCTGCATCCTGTTGTTAAGCAGCAAAGACTTACGATTGGGCCAGTGCAACACGAATGAACGAAGAACAGCATTTCGAAGCATCATCGGTGTCACCGTAACCGTCCTTTCTTGTGGCTCAACTTCAGGGCAATTACACGCGCACGCACCCTTCAAGGAAATTGTCGTGTTGATCGTGTGGCGCAAACGTGTAACCAGCCAGCTCCCGTCTTGATCTGAGCGCGCATTCGCGCACCGGCAACAGCAACATGACAGCAACGGCACCCAAACAGCCAAACGAACAGTCCCCGGGGGACAAAGCGGAGGTGCCAGCTGCGGCCGCGGCGCCCGAGCAGCCCGCTGGTGACGACAAGGGCTTCATGCGCTCGCTGTTTGAGGCGGTCGGCGGGGCGCTCGCCAAGGGTGCGTCGGGATGCAGGCAATATGCCTTTCCCTTGCAGGAGCGCCAGCGGCCTTGCATGCGGATGGATGTGGGAAGGAAGGTCGAGGTGGCAGCTGCGCGCCTGACCACCAGCCTGCAGCCGTGGCAGCTGCTGGGCACCTGATCTTGCTGCTGCCCCTGCGAACTGCGGGGCAGCCAGGCACCTGACTGCTTTGTTTTTTCCATTCATCGCATCTTCCTCCACCCTCTGTCGCTCACCCAACGAACCCAACGTGTCTCACCTTGCCCATGGAGGGCGCCCCCTGACCCGCCATCCCAACATATTGCCGCCCACTGCAGTTGGCATCGGCAAGGACGGCAAAGCGCAGGCGGCGGCGTCCAAGGCGGCCGACAAGGCAGAAGACGCGTCCCACACGTTTTCAGAGAGTGAGTGCACTGTGACACCCCTGAACCCTTGCAGTTGTCATTGTGGATCCACGATGGTCGTGACGGTAATTGCAACTGATTCCCTGGGCGCGAGGGTGGCGCCGCCACCAGCTGCAAAGTGCGGCACAATTTCTGGCGGCAATTACTCCCCCCCCCCAAAACGCACACTGTCAGGCCTCGCCCCAGAACCCATGCTTGAAGCATCACCTGCGCCTCAAAGCAACCTCCTCTCACACACCATTTTCAGGATCCCCACCCTCCCTTGCTGCTCACGCAACCCAAGTCTCACACCCCGTGGTGCCGGCCCCCCGCCCCTCAAACCAGTCGCGGGCATCATCACCACCCTGGCCAAGGACAGCCTGGGCGAACTGCTGCTCCACCCCGGCCACGCGACAGTGGGGGTCTACTACCTGGCACGCCGCCACCAGGTGGGGGGCCGGCCCACGTCACTAGGTTGTGCGGTGGCATTTCATAACAGCCGCCTGATTGTCGAGAGATTTGGATTGCGGGGCGATGTCAGTGGTCCGGCCGACGTTGAAGCGGTTTTTGATTGATGCTGGTCGAACAGCAGCTGGCCGTCGGTTGGGTTGGGTGGGTCTTGGCATAGTAAGGTCGACCGGCGATCTCACATGGCCGCCTGACAGCCGCCCTGGCGCCCGGCCGCACGGCAGCGTGCGGTTTCGATGGCGCTCCGCGCCTCCCGGCGGTACCCGGCGCCCGGCCGCGCCGCGCCGCCAGTGCAGCCTGGCACCCCCTCCCCCAACAGACACACACGCGCGCACGCACACACCACCCCGCCGCTGCCAGATGGAGCACGAGGCGGAGCGCCTGGACGGGTCCCACGTGGGCGACGCCGACAGGGTGGCGAGCCTCGCGCGTTACACCGACATCAGCGACTGCATCTACCCCGACAGGTCTTGACCACGGTCAACCTGGTCAACCGCGCGCCGACGGCGGCACAGGGGGCAGGACTGGTGGTTGCTTGACACGGCGGCCGCCACGTCGCTTTGCTCCTGTGACAGCTCCGCATGATGTCACATGACGTCACCTGGCGTCACCCGGACGCCTCACCCAGCCGCGCACAATGTGATCTGCAGGTACGAGGAGCTGGTGGTGAAGGGGAAGCTGCTGGCCGAGGATGACATCATCTTCCAAAACACAGACGTGCACAAGCTCCAGCCGGTGAGCGGCGGTTGGTGACGCGC